GGGGGGGGGGGGGGGGGGGGGGGGGGGGGGGGGGGGGGGGGGGGGGGGGGGGGGGGTCAATCACTGCTTTTTTCTATCTTCCTGGGCATAGGCATTGCGCCCATCCCTGTCAAGACAAAAACGCCATAACTAGATGCGCGTGGGCGGAGGTTTGGGCCGCACTAACACATGCGGTACCCTTTCCTGCAAAAGCGCCGTCCAGATGCGTGCGAGTGGCTCGCAGTGCGGACGAACAAGACACATTGCAGGAAATGTAAGGGGGTTTCGTGCTCCAATCGTACTCCTCTACATGCCCTCGAAAGTGAGATCACCTCAGAAGAGAGCAACATTGAATGAAGTACTAACTGTCACTACCAAGAAAAAGAAACACTACTACAGGGTATGCACAACCGCCAGAAACGAATACTGGCTGAACGTGCCGTCCGTCGGTGTTTTCAAATCGTCTTTCTCGTCGCTCACCTCCTCTCCTCCTCGTTGACCTCTTCGAAGGACTCTTCGCCCTTCTGGTATAGCTCGAGTATCAGCTTCCTGTCCTTGTCGCTGAATCACAAGAAAAAACAAAACGAAACACGCATCACAAACGCGGCTTTGTCGATCAGCAGGACGCAGAATGGTCAGCAGCACGCAACCAGGCATCTCACCCATCACAGAGCACTACACCACATGGAGTACTTTACTGGACCAATCTGCCCCCAGTGCAACAAGGTATCTTACCCATCACAGAGCACTAAAACGACACGGAGTACATTACTGGACCAACCCACCCCCCTTTCGGATGAGTGGCTGCAATACAACTCTCGCCGTGTCCCAGATGGCTTGAGGTCAATCGCCGCCGATACGCCGGCATCACGATGAAGGCTTGACGGTGTTCGAGCGAGAAAGGAAACGTGACCATGGACTACCGCTTTCGAGTCACGCTCGTTGTTGTTGCCTGTCGCAGCTCACCTAATGTTTACTTCCTCCGGCGCGCCGGCCTTGATGAAGGTGTCCGTGATGAAGCAGAACGTGCCGAACTGAGTTGGACATGTCCCGGCAGCAGCGTTTGTCGGCGTAGCGTAGTCGTCGTTCTGGTACCTGTCAGGCGAGAAAGAGAGAAAGAGAGGATTGTTGGCGACGAATGGCGAAAGAAGACTGTTCGTGCAATTTTTCCTCCATCTAGACTTGTTTGGAAGTTAAACCGACTCCCTGACTGGCTGCGGCGCACCAAGGCACCCAATGGAAAACAAACTGAGGGAAACATCAAAATGGGCAAGACACCAGGATACCATGCATGCCACCGTATCATACCCGATCCGTCTTAGTAAGGGGGGTGACTGCTCCATCTAAACTCCCTTTCCCCCCCCTCGGGCCTTCTACTCACCGCGAAACCTCGCTCAGAAAGAGCACCGACTCGTGGCAAAGCGCCCTCTTGGAATAGTCCTCGAACGCAGCCGCCAGGAGTGGCGTCCTTCCAAGGCGCTCGAAGTCCCACACCTCCATTTCCTCTCTATCCGAACGGCCTCGGCCACCACCACTACCGCGGCCACGGCCGCCACCCCTCCCCCTTTGCCCCCGCTGCACGGCATCACGCCTCTTGCCAGTGCTGCTGCTGCCCTTGGGTACGGACGTCGATCCATTCGCAATAGTCAATTCCCGGCCTTTCCACGGACAGGGAGCGACGGCACCGTTGGCGTCGGCGGAGGATGTGGTAATCACACCGCTACCAACGACGGCCGAGGTGGCGACCTTGCCGGTGCTACCACCTCCTACTCCTGCTGCTGCTGTGGTGTCGAAGCCCGGAACTCCTCCAAGCTCTTCGTCCTCGAACGCGACTTCGTCCTCGCTGTCGTCCACTATCCTTGACGAACCGCCGGCTCTTTCTGGCGAAATACCGGAAGCTGATCTCGTGCTGGTGCATAGGGGGTGGGCGGGGGGGAGTGGCCTTGCCTTGAAATACAATCCAGGGACCTCTGAAGGGCAGGTTTAATAGTGCCGGTGCATTCTGCTGACTTAAGCTGGTACACTAGAACCCATAAGTTCCTTGATCCAAAACAGTGCAGGTGCCCGGTATACTGCAGGAAAAATCTCTGGACAGACCCCTGCACTATAGAGGTCCCTCGACTGTATATTGGTATTGCCCCATGCCTTTCTCTAGAGCCGGAGAACCGTGCCTACGCAGATGAAGAGATGGCTTCAAAACTCCCGTATTGGTCTACATCTTGGTGTACAAGCTTGTTATGTTGTCAAAGTAAAAAACGGGGATGATCAAGACCCGACCCGTTCCGCATCCGTCAGGCTATAGATGCCTCTGTGGAAGGCGAGTACTGTTAGGATGCGAGAGAACGCACGGGGGTGTTGGCGTTCTTGAACGCCTGATTGCTCCACAACCAGCAGGGTGCGAACACCAACCGACACCTCCTAGGAAAGCCCTCGACGTGATGTTTCCCAAACCACCCCCCCTTGTCGGCAGTGTTACCTCCTGTACCCTCCTGGTTGTGGAGAAATCATGCGACGAAAAACGATGACACCCGCGCGCATTCTCTCGCACACTTACGGCAATGCCTACTTAAACCGATGCACGTCACCGCTCTATGACCCCTACGATGACGCCACCGCGACGCTCTGCCACACACTGGGCATGCGTCCGCGCATGCTTCTCCTCTTGCTACTTGTGGCCCGTGCTCGGTCGCTCACCTGTGGGATTCCGTGCGGCTGAGCAGCACCCGATCGGCGTAGTTGCGCTTGGTTGCCGCCAATGGGTCCAACGCTAGGCGGCGCAGCGGAGCCACGACACTGCGCGTTGACAGGTTGGACGGGGACATCGGGTACGGAAATCGTTTGGTGGTAGGTGGGACGTGTTGCCTGCGAGATTCGACGTACAATTCGTCTAGTCTAACGTCCACCCAGAAGTCGAAGAGCAAGATGTGACGATACGACAACGTTCCCGTTATAACGTGTGTCGAGCTGACCCCCTTCCATTTGCGACCGAAACCGATTGCCATCAGCTTTTCATGTTTCTCGACCCCAAGCCCGTATGTTTGTTCCGACAAAATGGTTTAGTCTGCAATGACCAACCAAAATGATCAACCCGCAAATCCCTGGACCAATCTCTGACACAGGGGCCTTAGTCAGCCTGCCAAGGAGTATTCCGTCCAAACGATCAATATCTTGAAGCATCTATCTGATCGATTCAAGACCAAATCTCACCCATAGACGGATGGCGAGCAGAAACACAAGAGAGAGAGCACCCACCTGATGCAGAATAGGACAGCCACGAACACTAGAGAAAGGTTGCTTGTGAGCCATCTCTGTTCAAAGTCCCCCCCACATTCGTCGACGACCTCTTGCACGACTGGTGTGGTTCACGCAGGCGTCGAGAACAAAGACAACGCATGGAATCAGCAACGGTGGTCATGAGGTATAGCGACGAAAAACATCACCGCCACAATCTCGGCCGTTGCGAGGCAGGACAAAGCAATAAGTATAAAGGTACTAGGCCAACAAGGGATTAGATACACTGCTGTACATCGGGTTCAGAGTAGCTGCCTAGTCTACGTGCGTCTAATCTTGTCAGCATGCCCACGTCGAAGCACTTCCAACGGCCCCTGTGAATCGCAGTGTTTTCCAAGTCAGGTCTTGAAAATGAGGTTATCGAAAACGAGGACAGGGAATCGTAGCAATTAACCAACCAGGCGTGACTACAGAATAGGTCCACACGTACTGTAAACAAGACTCTACGTGGGTGCTACGGTGGACGAAGCTGTGGGCCTCACATGTGACGACCGCGATAGTCACAGTGACAGTAATGAGCTCCTTGCTGATATTGAAGAGGTCGTCAACGTTCCTGATGAAAGGGTAAATGCAAACCAGCATCACCGCTAACACGCGGGCCTGCGTCTTCAGGATGCTGGTCTGTTTCGGAATGGCGTCCCTGGGCGAGACGCACAGCGGAACAACGGCGGATAGTCCAATCGTCAAGACACGAACGATGAGGCACTTCGCTAACGCCATCACACACGAATGACCAAAGAGAGCAGAGGGTAGAACGCAACACCACCAACATTGCAGAGGCTTTCGGAGTTCCCATTTAGACGACAAATCATCCCTTTGCATCGTACATCCACATCATGAACCTCAAGAGCAGCTTTTATGGTATGGGGGGGGGGGG